CTTATGGCATATGTCCTGGTTTGCCACTGATCTATTGCTGGTCTTTGTAAGAATTTAGAAATGTGAATACTGTGGCCCAAATTCTCAATAGAATTTGACCTATCTCTTGACCTTGTTTGTGTTTTCACTTTACTTTGCGTTGATGTATATGATGTTTTGTGTCCCATGGAAAACAGACGGCTTTGAGAATAAATCTGGCCCTCAGGCCTATGCCTGAAATCCTCTATCTTTCTCAAATGTAGCATCGCTGTGTTGCTATTTTTAAAGACAAAGTGAATAAACCTACTGGATTTGCCCTTGGAAGTATCGAAGGAAGAGTAGCTATTCATTATATCAACCCCCCAAATCCGTAAGTACCATTTAAGAAGCATCCTTTCTTTATTGCTCAGTTTACAATGAGGAAGGTAAAAAGACTTTTTTTTTTCCTCACAGTGCAAAAGATAATTTCACTTTTAAATGTCATCGCTCCAATGGAACAAACACATCAGCACCTCAGGATATCTATGCTGTAAGTATTCAGCATAAACCATAGATCATTTATACAGGACAATTACACTCTTAATGTAAAATTGGCTATGAGTTGTTTGTTCTCTTTGATCTTGACCTTGCCTAAATCTATCTTAGAGATATATTTAAAGACCAGTCGTAGTCGTACATTAAGAGGAAAGACATTTTTGTACTTCCCTTAAATCCAGATCAGCCATTAATTAAATCATCTCGGTGGAAATGATGCTTTTGCTGATACTGAAGCAATATTTTATATATTTGGGTAATTGGATTATGCATTGAATTTTTAGGTACTACAGAAAAGAAGATGCTTTCCTTGTTGCTTTGGTGAGGTGGTTTGTGGGTTTTTTTTTTTTTTTTTTTTTTTGGTTTTGTTTTTTTTGTTTCCAGAGAACACATCTGAAAACATTAAAAAAAAAAAACCACAAACAAATAAAACCAAACCCAAACAAACAAAAAACCAAACCCAAACAAACAAAAAACCAAACCCAAACAAACAAAAAACCAAACCCAAACAAACAAAAAACCAGCCCTATATCTAGTTGAAAACAATGTTTCATGTGTATTTACTGTCTCGGGATTCAAGATGTGTTGTGAATGTTCTCACATGTGATGTTTTACATGGTATTTTTTACGATTCTGCAGGTAAATGGAATAGCATTTCACCCTGTCCATGGTACTCTTGCAACAGTAGGATCTGATGGTAGATTCAGCTTTTGGGATAAAGATGCACGAACAAAGCTAAAAACATCAGAACAACTTGACCAGCCGATATCTGCTTGTTGTTTTAACCATAATGGCAATATATTTGCATATGCTTCAAGTTATGATTGGTCAAAGGTAAGAAAGGTTGTGACTCCTTCATAGTTGACAACTAAGACTATTCTTTTCACATGAGGCTTTCACTGTTCTTTATAAATAGTAGCTGAGTCTAATTTTACAAACGTGCAAGAGAATTTACAATGGTCTGCATTTTAGACATTTTTATGAAATTTAACACTGAAGCAGTGCGTTTGGTTTTTAGCTTCAGTTGGATAGGGTTGCTAAACAATGCTATTTTGCAAATGTGGATGAGCAACATGTAAGTTACATGCTTCAGAAGTTATTCTGGTTGCTCACATGTATTCTGCTGTGGAGAGTGTCATGGGGCAATGTGGCACCCTAACAAGTTGCTACAGATCTCTTTGAAATGCACATCTCTGTTGCTCGGGCAGATTCTCTTTAACTTAACTTTAAAAAAAGCTGTGACTCTGGTTATGAACACTTAAACGAGTGCTTGACTGTCATGTACTAAATTTCCAGTACCATTCAGTGCAGCTTACTGATAGCACTTAAATTTATGTATTTCTCTTCCAAACTTGACTCAACAATAAATCTCAACAAGAGAATCACAACAAACCATAATATTTGAAGAATCAATGCGGCTTAATAGTTTTAAGAGGAGGGGTAACCAGGTTGAAATGTAACTGATTTCAATAGAACAGCAACTTTTAATTAAAGTATTACTTTCCTGTTATAACTAGTGCTTTTAAATTTGAGGATAACGTTCTTTGTGATTTTAACTGAAATGAATGCAGAAATCGCACAGATGAGCTTGACTGTATGCCACAGAGAGCAACGTTTGAATTTACTGCATTGTATCTAGGCTTCTGGATGCTGCCCACAGTAAGATAACTTTGTTAGATGCTAGGGCAGATGAATTCTTCTGTTCTTGAGTGCTTGGGTAGACTGCAATGGTAGATATGTACCGAGGTTCTTTCAGATCTGTAAATCAATATTAAGTAGTAAAACCAGTAGGCAGTAAATTTTCTTTCCAGAACCATTTCTGTCAAGCGGAGTTGGTAATTTTCAAGTTGTGCGTTGGACTTTAATAGCTTCATTAGTGTCTACTCTCCCTGATTTGAATACTGGCATATTGAGTCAGTAATGTGTATGCAAATAATGTCAATATCCAAAATAGTATATTTGCATTTGTAATTGGGGAACAGATATTTTTGCAGTTGCCTGTGGAACTTGGGCTTCGCTTTGAAAAAATGTGACCTTATTTTATCTAAAAGGTAGATACTATAAAGTGAAATTGGGTGGCCATTAAAGTTTTAGTTTCTTCTCTGCTTGGAATGACATTTTAAAGCAAAATCATATTGAGCTCTTATGCTGCATCTGTAAAGTAGACCTTAGGGATATGTGTTTATTTTTTTATACCTTAAAAATGGATAAATGTCCCTTAAATTTTACTCTCTATATACAAGTCTTGTAATTATTTGTTACAGTAACCTGTTTCTAATCCACCAGTGTTGTCCAATACCTGGTCTTAAAGAGTTTAAGATTAAATCTTAATAAACCAAACTAATGGAATATTCATATTCTTACATTTTAAGATAATGCTGTTGTTATTTCTTCTTTGAAGAGAGTAAATACAGATTCCTTTTCTTCTTAGGGTCATGAATTTTATAATCCACAAAAGAAAAACTACATTTTTCTGCGAAATGCAGCAGAAGAGTTAAAGCCTAGGAATAAGAAGTAGTGAGTATGAGTCTGACTTCTGTTACTCTACTGTGTTTCTGCCATTCCTGCCTCTATTACACTGCTCTTCTGCCATTTGCGCCCTATTGCACCACGGTTCCGTCAACTTTGGATCGCTAACATTTAGCAGGAACTGTAAAAATTAACCTTAAATGCATTCTGACTTGCTGGAGTACGTTTTTTCAAATTAGATACTCTGATGTGTGTGAGAAAGAGAGGCTAGTATTCACATGACTTAATCACTGTCTGTTCCACAGCAATAATGAAATTGCAGCAAAATCTAAATTGAGGTAGATATTCCCGCTTATACGTGCAACCGTTTGTATCTATGGATTTATTTTATTAGTACTACATTAAAATATGTTAACTATAATAGTTCTGGAGAAGTTGTATAAATACTGTATTTTTTGTAGGTACCTGAAGAATTGCAAGTAATTCTTCTCAAAGGAAGCTTGTTATTGCTTATTATTCAGGGGTTCTTTCATTGCTTTCTGATTTTCAAAATGGAAATATTGTCTACTGTATGCTAGGAAGAAATGCATTGCAAATTGTTTTCCCTCATTTTTTGGATTAATTTAGTAGGTATGTAAGTGGCCAACAGCAGTGACAGAAACTCGAGACAGAAGATGGGCACAGTGCAAATTCTACGTTAGTTTTTTCTTACACTCCAGCAATGGAGGTGACTTTGAGCCAGCTGTACTCATGCTTATTCTAGTCCAAAGGAGAAAATGTCAGTTGTGCCAAGTGGTATGTAGTTCAGTAATATGAGGAAACCATGAAAGGGTTTGTTTTGTTCATGACCAAACCAATGTGTGCAAAATACATGTGGCCTAAACTGCTTTAAAACTGACACCTTTTAGAGTTAAAAGTTGGTTCCTTTGCATCTCTCCTAACATGTTTCTGTCCCTTAACAGGGGTTTCTGGACTGAAAAAAAAAAAAAGTACTCATTTTTGTATTAACTAGAAAATTGTGCTGGTGTGTTTCATCCTGATCAAAAATGCTGTGAAACAAAACAAGAGGGTCTCTTTCTGACTTGAATTTACCACTGTTTACTTTTAACTAGCCAGTTGTATACATGCCAAAGTTTTCTTTTTAGAAGTGAATGCTTATTATTCCTGTTTAACTGTTGTTTGTTTGATAATGACTAAATAAAAATGGGGGGTGGGGGAGCACATGTATAGACGTATCTGTCATAATGTACAAATTCTCTGTAAAACTGTATGTTGTAACACTTATGGATTCATGCTAAGTTTCAAATAAAATTTTTACTAAATACTTTTTTATATTCAAAAGTTCTATATACAATAACATGGACAAGATGGTGTGTTTGACTTCCAAAAGCAGCTTCTTGTCCTTTCGCTGTAATTCAGATACGTTTTCTGAAACTACTTTTCCCCCAGCTGCTTGAGCTGGAAATCTAATGCTTTTTTCCAGTTGCTCTTTCATTATGAATGTTTCTTGTGGTTTTGCGTCCAAGAATTAAGAGGACTACTACGAAAGGCCTTTTGTTTTATAAGAATGAATCAAGTTCCTTGCTATCTCAACAGCCAAACACCTGACAATTTGTCTTTAGTACAAATGAATCGTACTATCTTTAAACCCTCCAGAGCCTTTACTATAGGTCCTTTAACTTCAGACTCTTCTCTTTAGGGTGTTCATCAGTTTTTGTTGGGTGTGTATTTCTTGTTTGATATAGTTGAGGAAAGTCCATGCAATACATTCTGCTGTTGTTTAGAGATGTTCTTTTCTGGGTTTTATTTCTCAATTTAGTTTTTTTTGTCTGCTACTTCTATTTTTATATGATTTTAGATTTCACATTCATGGACTATTTGTTTTCTTGAAGACAGGAAAGAGTTCCCAGCAGTTACATCGATAGCTGGTCATTTGCTCAAACATTTCTTTTGTTTATGTTGAATTTTATTTTTAAAGATTGTGATTGTTCTGCTGTAATCTTTGGGGTTTAGTACGTTTTTCCAGTCTCCCATGTCAAATTAATTCTATCAAGCAATTGCAGGCTCAAGGTTACATGTGTGTCATCAGTGATAGCAAAAAAAAAAAAAAAATTAAAACATATTCTAATCTCTTGTGTGCAGAACTCCCACTGGTGTAAGCAGGGAAGAATGGAATGTATCATCTGTTTCTTGTTTAAAAAAAAATGTTTCTTCATTTAAATACTTAACTGTGTGAATGAGTGAGGCAGAAAATAGATTCACTTCAGTTCAGCAGGTACGTTTCTACTGGATCCAATGGAGTTGCACCTACTTAAGTGGATACTAAGTTTGGCCACATATATTTTCATAATGAAGCCAGCAGTGGTAAGTCTCTCTTGGTAATACAGTTCTGTACTAATATGTTGAGTCCTTATTCTCCTGTTGGAATCAGTTTCTTTTTATCTGTCAGCAAGGGTTCAGAATTATTTAGTCATCACATTAATTTTTTCAGACTCATTTTAGAAGGGCATATTTCCCGTTGTGTTGCTGTGCACATTAGATATATTCAGTTGGGAGGACAGAGTCAAACTTTGAACTGATTGTTTTCCGTTACCCAGGTTAAGAGAATGCATTAGCAATGTACTCCTCCTTGGATTTTTTGCAAGGTTATATTGCAAAGTACACACAGCTGTATCCCTTCGAGCATCAAACATGTAGTGAGAGCTTATTCACACACAAATAAGTGTTAGTGCATGTTCTGGAAATGCATTAACTTGCTACTCTATGGCAGTTACCTGTCCAAAAAAGAATGAAGTAGAATGTAAGATTGTAATGTATGAACAAAAAGCTAACCACAGGAATGCTAGATCTATAAAAAAAACTCATTTTCATTGATTTTTTGGAAAGTTTGCTGTCAGTGTTTGTGTTTTATTGCAGAAAAATAAACTTTGGCATAAGGAGAAACTCAGTTAAGCCCGCAAAAATGGGGACATCTTATAAACATTACAAAATAAGCTGTTTCAACCTTCTTCCTGATAGTCTCACATGTTAGTGGTCTTGCACGTTAGTTTAATAAAATGTATTTTGGAAAATGAAGAAATCATCTGCTACAGCCTTTCACAAAGTAAAGCAAGACATGCTTGCACAATGGCAGGTGGTCAGGCAGAGTATCTTAGTTTACCATCTGTCAGATGAAATGCAATAGCCAATTTGGTGACTACTCCAGCCTAGCTCCTAGGCTAGGAAAACAAGTTAGAGAAGTTCTCCAGAGAAGTATGGATTTGAGATAGAGACGGGGTTAGGTGTATGTGGGAAATTTCATAAAGGCTGTTGCTTAGGCCTGGTTCAATTTAATTGTGATCAAGTGCTGTTTGCAGATGAGGTGTTGAGCAACTGTCCACTATAGGGAATTGTCAAACCTGTCTCAAAAGGTTTACACTATGGCCTTTGAAATGATAGAAGCCACTTACCTTGTTTGCCTTTCTGCTGTTGCTGTTTGTAGAGAGGAACCAGGGAAAAAATTAAATATTAAGGTTTATGCTGTTATGTTTTTACATCTCCAGATTTGTTAACTGTCATTTGCTTTCTGGGGTAAGGCCAACCTAACTATTTCCAAAAGTTTCTGATGGAGCTTCACTATGTATAGCATTTCCCTTAGGCTGTTCAGCATATCAGCCAGGTGAGAATCATCATCTAGTGCTGCAACACAAAACAATGAATGAACAAGTTCAGAGTAAAAAACAATTCCCTAATAAAATTTTCTACACTAGCAGTTGTATTGTGCACAAAACGCTCTAAATGTGTAAATTAAAGCTGTTGTAAATCTCCTGTTGTGCCAGGAGATGGCAGCATTGATGGTTCCTAACGAAAGCTTTCCCTGCAGCATGGTCTGCTGCTCCCCTGGCTCCATTGCAGTTCTCTGTGGAGCTGGCAGTGCCCTGCAGAGCTACTGCACGTGTGCTGTCATACAAGATACAGTTATTTGTAATATCGACCTATCTCAAAATACTCATGGAATGGATGAAGATACATACAGGATGGAAATACTTTTCAATTTGAGTTTTACAGGACTGTACATGATACCTATCCATAAATGTAAATGAAGACCTTTTTAGAACAATCCATGTGATGGTCTTTTAGCTGCTCAAAGAGACATCTGTATGGCTGCCTGAGTTTGTGGCCTAGGTAGTATTAAAGGTGTTGATAGCATGTTTGAGTACCAGATATTTAAGGAGTTTAGAATTAGGTGGGGGTAGAGCTGACTGAGTTAGCATATGACCTGGACTACTGGCTAGTGTTCTAATTAAATTCCCTTTCTAAGGCAAATCTTAATAACTTACACTAGTTTTCATACTGCTGTCATAGGAGGCTAGGTTTAAAACTGGTAAGCAACTCTAGATTTTTTTTTTTTTTTCTAAAGTGGAATTCTTGGAGGAATTTAAAAGGACAGTAAAAATACTTCACTAAAACCCAAACAGGTAAGCTCATTGACAAGCTACTTAAAACCAAGGGCACTTTGTTCCAAAAAATTGTAATGTAGTGTCTTTTATTTTTGTTTTAAAACTGGGAAATGCACCAGATAATAAAAGGGAGGAATAGTCTTGAGTAACAAGATATAAATATGTTTTTAAATCGCTTATTAACCCCATGCAGCTATTTTGTCCCTGGGGCATATGTGACTGGTAGCCCCTGCTCCCAACCTCTGGTAATGTGGTTGGCATAACTAACACCATTTTAGAAGGCGAACAGCCATTCTGGGTTACTAAGTGGGTAACGTATTCATTCCCTTTCCCTCGTTATCAGTCCCTGAAGGTGCTGTGAACCAACTAGACAAACCAAATAGGTATTTTCTTCCCCTCCCTGCTGACCTCAGAATTCCTGGGTGCCAGGCCGATTACTCCCTTCCTTGCTGGCCTTGAAGGTCCCAGGCACCCAGTCAGCCCGGTGTTGGTGATGACCTCACCACAGAACAGGGAGCACTGTCCATAAAATCAAGCAGTTACAAGTCCAAACTGGGGAACTTTGACCCAAACTGCTGCTGGACAGTGAGACCAGTGACCCCCCCAGTGACCAGGGATGCTTCCACCATTGTCCGCTTCCTCTTGAGGATCGAGTGACTTGTCATCTTTTATATGATTTTCAAATCTAGATTATGATTGTTATATTGATACAGATAACCATGTATTAAGATCCAATCTGTAGAGGGTTCATGTGATAAGCAATTATAAATTAAGCTGTATTATAAATTCTGTTTTATGTTACTTATAGATTGTACCATATCGATTGTACTTGTAGAAATACTGTGCCATTCTCATAATAAATTGTGCTATACTAATCATAAGTAACTACAACTCAGTGCTGTCATCATTCTGCTAAGGATCCATAAAAGAGCCTGTCTGTCCCCTTAGTGTCAGGTGACAGGCTAGTTTTAAAGAAAAAAGAGTAATATCTGCATTGACAGAATGTTGTCTTTGCACACCTCAGGCTGTGAGTTGGAGTTGGTAGAACTGTGTATTTCATCCTACAGCTGCTGGTCAAACAACTGAAAGCCATCTATTATTTCCAGGTAAGCTTAGGTTTATATACAGGCAGCACAGAGACCATCCTACTGCTCTCGGCAATAGGACAGCCATTTTAAATGTGGAAACTTGCTACTGTTCTTCCCTTGCCAGGTCAGAATAAATGAAGCAACATCAGCTGGCTGGCTGCGATGGTTTCAGCAGACAGATGCTAGTACTTTCATTGTACAGTATGTTCTGTGTGCACATGGAGAAGCCTGTGTTCCCAAGAATCTGCAGCAGGAAACAAGCTCATGAGAATGCAGCCGTTGGAGCGGCACGCTGGGATATCGCGACTACGAGTGTTGGGAATTAAGAGTGGCAGTGATCTGTCTGCCCTGCCCTGGGTGGGGCCCGCATGACACGGCAGCAGAGGCTAGCACAGCACAGGGCTGGAGTCGGGCTTGCAGGTACCGATTTCAGCTTGGTGAGGCTCATTCCTCAAATGCAAAGCAAGCGTTCATTTATTTGTACCGTTTACCCGCTTCTGGAGTGGAGATAGTGCTACATTAGGTAAAAGGAAGTCACACAGTTTAGGACTTGCTTGTAAGGTAATATGAGACGGAGGCAATATCACAAAGGGGGCCATGTGCCTCAGGAACACTTGTGCATTGACAGAGCAATTCCAAATGTTTGTGTTGCATCAGTTCTGCAAATACTCTTTGTTACAGTGCATGAAAGATACAATACCTGTCAACATTAGCTTTGTAAAGAGAGACCGTTTTCTTCTGTTGACTAATTATCCAGTGAATATATTCAGTTTGAAGAGACACTTCAATAATTTAGCAGGCATGTGCCAGGTAATATAGGAGCTTTTGTCTTACTAGTGGCATAGATCTTCAATCATGTGTAACTGAACCTCTGGCTTTATGTATTCAAGGAAGTGTTTCGTATAGCTCCTGTATCAAGTGCCACTGAAAAACAGGCCTGGATAAAAGATTAAGGTAATGCTCTTAACTGCGAATAGGAAGAGTCTACCCTTCACTGTCCAGTATATACTTGCAGGCAATAGCTGCTTCATACATGTGAAGTAAGTATATGCTGAGATCCAATAATGAATCTGTTGTAGCAATAGAAGAATGCTGGAAGCTGTATGTTAAATACCTGGGTCCGTTAAGTCTCCTTGCTTTATGGTGTATTAACAAATGCTTTGTAGTTTGATACGGAATACTTTCTGTCATTAATGTTTTTTAAATGCAAATCATTAGCGCTACATTCTTTGGTTTGCTGGACCAGATGAGGAGAATGATAATGTTCAGTTCCTGGGAACGCCAAGAAGCAAAACTCAAGTAACAGTTTTTCTTCAGACCCTCACAAAGTGCTTTATCACAGTTGTGCCATCTTCCAGAAATGTGTAAGTTCAAATGTCTTTTTCTGAGCCACTGTCAACTGGTTCAGTCACCTTCCTCTGCTAGCCTACAGTACTAATCTACAACAAATGGAGATACATCTTGTTTAGAACAGGCCGTGATTATTGTACTCGGTGAAGTGCAGACATAATGCAGTAGCTCAAACTAGTGTAAAACTGCTAAAACCAGAGTAAAAATACAGTCTTTTTACTCTGGAAAGACAGCTGTCTGCCATGCTCCTGCTGTAACACAGTGGGATTTATATGGACTCAAAAGGACAGACATCACTTACTGACAGGGAATTGCTTTCTGCAGATATCTGACTATTCCTTAGAGGTCTCGTTTTTCTACATCGTGTTCATTCATGGTCTAAAGCAGCAGGGTTGCAGACAGTAATCAGTTGTTTATGCATTAATTTTTAATTTATGGAACAGTACCTATATATTTGTAAAGAACAACTTTTGCATCTGTTGAATGTTGTCAGATTTCAAACATTAGCATGTAGCATTTCAGAAACACATTCACTGGACTGAAAGGGATTGGGATTGCCACAAAAACACGGAAAGATGGGAAATGTCTATTAAAAGAGAACAGCTTAGCAAAAGCTTTTTCATTGAACCCTTCTCCTATCAAGCTTTTGTTCAACCATAGGCTGTGTGATGCTGTTCGAGTCATGCTGTAATGCTGACCTGCGTCTTTCACAATGGCTTGGGTCATCTACTTCATCATCTGAGCACCTTCTTTGGTGGTCCTGCCAGCAGCAGTGGGGAAATGAAAGAGAAGATAATTGAACTTTCCAAACTATTCTGTACATGGCTTGGCCCAGGGGAAAGTTCCCCAATAGTAACTTCCCCATTATGGAGACATCTGAGCACCTACTTACTACTCTCTTGCTCTTACTAGGCCTCCTTATCTTCATGGACAGTGCTGTCAAAGCTACCCTTGTGGTAAGGTAACAGAAGAGTTGTTTTCTTTTTGTAGGCTGAGGAAAATGTCCTTTGAAGTAGGACTGGCCTTGGCATCCCCCAGGCTGGCAAAAGGAAAACCGTACTCCACGAAGCGTTTGGATTTCCTGATTTAGTACCAATCCATATGCTTCATTCATGAGCTTGACTTTACTTCAAAAATACAGATCAATGGACCTACCAACCTTTTTGTCTTTCTAAGAATGCATGTAATACATAGCCTTTTTATTGTCTTATGCTCATCTCTATGCGCTTATCCACTAACTAAAAGCATGATGTAGTAACTGGTCTGTGTGATTTAGCAGGAAATGGCCTGCCTTTGTTTCAGTTGTCATGTTCAGCTGAAGTCATTGTCCTGCTGCAGTGTTGGGGACATCGTGTTGCTGGCAGTTGCCTGTTGAGCTATTGATTGCTTTTCCTCATCAGCAATGACTGCGATGCTCCAGCGGGTTGGGTGTGGGTGTTGTACTGTTGGGAACTGGATGGCATCACCCAAGTGTTGACCCTTGCAGCCTGTGGTGGGGCTGCCGTTCTGTGGCAGTGTGGTAACTGTTTCTGTAAAAGACACACTTTAGGCCTTTTGAGATCACGTAGAAGCTGGAATTCTTCCCAGGTTTCAGGTAACTATGTTTTTCTTTTTAAATACCTTTCCAGGGTCCACGGATATAGCTTTTGTATCCAGTGCTGATACGTTGTTTTGATGTTTTGACAGTTCAGTTGTGTTCATATCCTGTTCAGCACCACTGCAAACAGTCATTGTGTTTGAATAGAGTAGACATGGTAAGTAGAAGGCTCTAAGAGTTTCTAATTAAACCTTTAAAGAAAGTTAATTACATACCATGCCAATCTTTGTTTGTTTGTTTGTTTGGTATTCTGCACTCGGCCAGGTTCATTGCAGGCATTAAGTACCTTCTAAAAGTGTCAGAAATTGGAAGGATGATATTGGAGTAGATGGATTATTTATCTCATTGGATGTGACAAAAGAGTCTGTGTTAGTGAGGTCTAAAATACAGCAACCTGGAGAAGAGGACACCACCAGATTAAGGAGACAATCCAGACGGTTGAGACCTGGGTATGCTTGCCTGTGAGAGGTTGAATAGAAAGGGCCCACCTGAGATCTCAGGTCAGTGCCATCAATATGTTCCAGCTCTGAATTCACTTTTCTTTAGCTGTTCAGACTGTTATGTCCATACAATTATGTTGTATGTCCCAGAGCTGAGACATCTTGTTTAGTGTTCTTCTGTGTCCTGACTATTCACTGGTTGGAGTGGGAGGACAGTTCCTGCTCAGTTTGTGCTACCAGTGTCACGTGCAATCCCATGAAAAGGTCATGGGATATGGCCCTGGCAGCTCTGGCAGAGATTGTTAGGAACTTTCTGGCACTTTCTTTTCTTTTTTTTAAATTGGAAAATACCACTTAGGTTTAATATAACAGCTCAATAAATATTTGGGGGAAAAAAAAAAAAAAAAAAAAGTAAAAATAATTATTAATGCTGTTTCAAAATGCCTGAATTTTTCTACTTCCTTCCTTTAAAGAACATGCAATGATTTCTTGGTCATTTTAAAATGTAGCTTATGGTTTTCAAAATGCTAACAAAAGTATGAAGTAACAATTAATATTTTACCAAAACACAACATAAAATGGAAATAGCGAAAACATTTGTTGAACTATTTTGAGATGTAAGCTTTGCAGTTTGACTCAAATGGAGTGTTTTTTCTAAAAAACTTTTTCAGGCAGGACAACACTTTTGTTTGATAATTAAATCCCAGCCTGAGAGAGATGGGACAATATTTCCATTAAAGACCGCCAGAATTTCTGTGCAGAAATTCAAGAAAGGAACAGTATCTTTATTAGAGGTTGTGTTTAGCAGATGATGACTAATGGTTTTGTCTCTTTATCTTTCTCTCCCTTCTCCCCATGCCTTCCCCTTAAGATTTGGGGATACCCGAGCCTGTTCTGAAGAGACTCTTCCTCTATGGCATCACCAAAGGTAAACTTGAGGAAATGAGCAGTATTTTGGCCTGCATATTTAATGTTCTTCTGACATCACCTAATGCTGTCAATAGCAGGAAACGTGTGCTGGATCTCTCTTTAACTTACAGCTTCCGATCACCATTACTTATTATCAGTGGAGGAGTTGTGGTAGAAAATCTGTTTGGAAACCTCTGGTCCAGAAACCAACAAGAATTCTTTTCTTTGTCCTTTCTGTTTTCTGTTTCTAACCTTCATCATCCCTTTCCTGCCTTCTCCTACAAAGTAAATAACAAACTGAAATCAGCTAGTGAAGAGTTTCATAGATTTGTTACATAATTTATCTGCAGTATGAACATCAGAGCACTTTTCATTAGTCTATTAACTAATAGGCCAAAGAGCGATCATTCCCAAGGTCCCAGGAAAGGCAAGGGTTACCATTGCTCTAGGCTGAGACTTTACAATACTGATGATGACACAACTGTTTGGTATAGATGCCAACAGTGCCAGAAAACAATCCTAACCAAGGGCAGTATTTTCATTGCTCAGAAGGCCAGCCCAGCTCCCTGCTGCCAGGCTGTGACAACTACCAGTTGGCAGGCCCGAGCATCCTCAGCGCATGGTCATTCCAGCTCCCTAGCATGCTTTGCCAAGACTGGCTATAGGCTGGTTGACAGACATTTACACACACAACTCCCAGGAGGCTACCTGTGATTAACAGTGCATCATAGATCACGGAGGAGAAATTCCCCAAGAACAGAGTAACCAGCACCAGTTTGCTGACACCAGCACCAATAAATGTAGGTTTGACCAGTCAGGGCATGCTGCAGCACATGTTCATCACTAGTCTACTGAAGCACCTTTCCTTGCTGACCCAATCCTTCCTGGTCCCAAACAGGTGGCTCGCTTTCCCCTGTGACACGCGTGATCGGCACAAGAGCGTGTGGAGGAAAAAGTGCCAAGCTGCTGTGTTGCAGCTGAGCCTAGTCTCTGCGAAACTCAGAGGAAATGGTGATTGTGGAGCTGTGAGCTGCAGGGAGTCTTACTGCCACAGCTCATCTCCTGGTAGATAGGAGCAAAGGAAGCTCTGACAGCGGCTGCACCCAGCAGTAGCAGTTGGAAGTGGTTTACCATCCAGTGGACTTTGATTCCTAACATTGCCTATTGGTCCTGGGAAGTGCAGGACCAGAGGAAGTGGGGAAAGAAATAGCAAGCTCAGGACACATACCATCAAAAAAGAACAAAGCACAACATTCCTGAGTGTAGAAGTTCTCCTTTCTGGTAGTTGCAGGTGTATGAGCAATATGACAGCACAGCCTCTTAGCTACATTGGCCATTATTCCTCTTATACCTATATTTTACTCCAGACTTTTATCCAAGGCTTGCATTGCAGCTGTGCCTTCCTGTGGCAAGATCTTCCAAGCAGTTACAAGCTCTGCAATTTCCCTAGGCTCTGTTTTATTTTTAGGGAATCTTGTTAGAAGTTACCACAATTCAGTTTGTCCTTTGTCATGGCACAGACCCATAATTTTTATTTTGCAAAGGGATATCTAGTGGGAAGGCAGGAAAGTTTGGAGACATAGAATTAGTCTTTTAATGACATTTCCTTTCACCACTCTCTGAAATGTGTTTGTGGTCCAGCAGAATCAAATCAGGTGTGCAATTTGTTGCTTCTATCAGTCCTAGTTACCAATGTCCATATCCATCTGCCATCTTACTGTGTTCTTTTACTGCAGGTTACCTGCATCATTCAAACAGATCATTCTGTGACTACTAGAGCTGATGGTCTGCTTCTATGTAACTAGCACAGCCAGCAAAGGAAATAGAGCTTACTCAGCATCCCTAGTTCTGAAATATTTCAGAAGAGGAAATAATCCTACTGGAAGATTCCTACTGAAGCAAAAGGCTATTCAAAAACCAGTCCTGATTAGGAACATCCTCTGCTCAAATATTTTGTTACAAGTGGCCTGAAGAGGAAGAATTTTTATTTTTTAATTCTTGTTGCAGCAGCAGCTCTGAGTTAAGCAGTGGTCACGATGTATTCAGGGCATCAAAGCAGAAAATCTGAGACAAAGGGCCTAGATGCAGAATTTCCTGCTAAAACCTAAACAAAATGCCACTGCATGCAGCTTCCCTCAAGATCTCCCAACTACGCTACTGTTCACAGCCTAGCTGGTGGCCAGCATCCAGACTGAGCATTAGTAAAACTAACAAACCAAACAGTTCCCACAGTAAGTCCCTTGCTCTCCAGCTAACTTATTTAACTGCGGAGCCTCTGAGAGGGATGTTTCATTTACTCTTGTTGCAATAACCAGTAAGCGGGTATCCATGACAAAACCAAAGGGCACTGCCCTACAGCAATGAAGTCTTGGCTAAACAGCAGCAGAAACTGAAAAAGGTCAGAGCTCCACAGTAGCCCTGCTCCATTTTAAAAATAAAACCCATCAGTTTCCTAAGAAATGAAGGAGGTTCTTCAAGGGCTTTCAGATCAGACCTGAGATGTCTCAACACAATTCTCCCAAAGACACCAGGGAAAGAAAGGGAAATGCTCAGGCAAGTATACAAAGAGAGTGCCACAGAGATTCACTGACTTTCATTCTACCGCTCCCTGTCAAGGGAGGGACGAGAATAGAAAACACTTTGTGGCTTTGCAGAGGGCAAGGAACAGGGCTAGCTTTTCCCCTGCAATGAATTTGCTACTCTTTCCCCATCTCTCTGTCCTGTTCTTGTGTTCCTAGAGATACAACTCCTTCTGCCATAATTTGTTTTTCTTCCTTTAGACAGGAACCATTTCTACGTGGTTCTGTACTTGGATGGTCTTGCAGTGCCACCTTCTCTTAAGATTTTCAGTGGAATCAGGATGCTTGGTTTGGTGATCTGCAGCTCCTCCATTTTACATCTTGGATAATGCTGCTGAAGTCCACCAGAAGGAGCCTTTGTGTATCACTTTTGTATAAACCTCAAGGAATATATTAACATGTAAGTAAAAAGCCAGTGAGTGCTCTTAACTATGTTGAATTACCATAAAAATCTTCCCAATCTGTATGAGAATAGGATGCTCTGGATTTTGCAATACAAAGCCTATACCTTAAGAATATGGATGGTTGCACACTGCTGCTAAAGGTGACTTTTCTCTCAGCCTCCTCATTGATTGACCAGTGTAGTTTTATTTCTTAATAACTACAAAGAAGCAAATACAGCTCCACAAGAACACGTATCAGATGCGTGTCCCTCTTTTTGCTTGCAGTCTGCTCTCAGATTTGTGCTAAGCATTGTCTAGCATTCCCCAAGGCAGCTTCGTACTTTGAGATACGGCTATCTCTGCAGGAGCTCTCTTTGACCAGAGAAATTTGAAACATACTTTTCTTGGGTACTCTTATTATTGTAGTAAAAGCACAGGAAAGTATCAGCAAACTAGCTCTGCCAAGCTCCTGCAGTTTTGATCTGATGGATTTAATCTGTTGGTGTTTTAGGGAGGATGACTTTATCACAAGAACTGGGAGGGGTGGGAGGTGGGGGAAATAATCCATAAAGTTACTCTTACTTGCTTTCTCTTCTCTCTCCTACAGTATTTGTGTAACCGCTCATTAGACCCTGTGTTTGTAATAGCTGTACCAGGAGACTTCATTTCCCATCCTGCTTTCCAGGGTGTGGCAAAACAAATGCACACTCCCCCCATCCACACCTGCAGTGCTGTGGGGTTTGCAGTGTTCACCAAGTACAGGCTTAGCCCTAATTTCTTTCTTGTTCTGTTCAGCCTGTAAGAGAACTTCTGTTCCTGCCTCTAGGAAAGAAGAGGAACTGGGATTCCTCCTTTGAAAGATGCAGGGCTCATGTTTGAAGTGGGAAAAAGTATATGATGTTTTTCTCCCCCTGACCAGTACAAGCATCATGAACTGAGATGCTTCTGGTAGCTGTTGAGAACTATGAGCCTTGCCTTCCTTGCAGAGGAGTTGGAGTCTATTTGGATGATTTGAATCTTTGCCATCATTTGGAGCAGAATTAAGCTCTGTAAAAGGACAGTGACTGAATGCCAACTGGGTTGCCATTAGCTCGGGCAGCCCGGGAAGCAGCTGATGTGCAGTTTGTGGTGGAAGTCATGCAGACAGAAGGGGTATGACTCAGTGGTGGAGAGGCCCTGGCCTCTGGCTTTATTCCGACCCCAAAGGTGTGTTCGGGGCTTGCTGTTGGGATGGACCAGGGACAGCACAAATACACACCACTGCATAAGCCACGGAGGCTCCAAGGATTCCCACATGACAGACCCTTTTGCAGAAGGCTGTTAATAGTGTGGTGGTGGTGTTGGGTGCTGCTGGCCTAGCTCCATCTTTCGTCCACAGTAATCAATGGAAATGTGTCTTGAAGTCTGGTGCTTTAGGAATTAAAAGCTTAATGGCTTTCCTTGGTGCTTTCCCCCCCCTCCCCTTATGAAGCATGGGGTGTTTAGAACTATGGAAGCAGTGCAAGAAAAATATTAATGAATAACTATGGAGTGCAGACATTAACACATTCCTTTGTCTTGAAATAACTGGCTTTTCTCTGTAAAAGAAAAATGTCTGTAGAGCCTGAACCTGCTGTACAGAAGCCAAAGTAGCTGGTGATTTAGAACTTCACTGGCTTTTTTTGCTAAAATGTTACATTTATCATGTGGCAAAAAATATCTCTTTCTCTACAAAATGATAACCCTGTAGAGGCAAGATAAACTTCAGGCACAGGGGCAGTTGTTGAGGTTCTGGCTGATGAATATCTGGGTAATGGAAGCTGTGAATGAAAAATGATTTCTAGAATAAAAAAATATTTCTAGGCCTCCCTCCCATACCCCAGACTCTAACCAATGTTGGAGGGGGAGGAATTAAAGCATTGCAAGCACTTCGCCATTGGAGTGTTCTCCAAGGGTGGATTCTGAGGCACCGAGTGGCTTCTCAGATTTTGTTTCCCTGCATTTATGAACGGAGGGGTACATGAATGGAATATGGGGCTGCATTACACTAACAGTACTCCCAGATTTGAATCACAGCCTTCCCAAGTGAGGGGTGAAAACTGCAGGTCAAATCAAAGGCAGGGGCATTTCACAGCCTCCTTTGTGTGAGTTGCTCATCCTTAGAGGGAACAAAATGCAGAAAGAACCCCATTCCTGACTACCTGTGGAACTGGGAATAATACATCCCTGCCTCACAGAGGCAGGCTGCACAGATTGATGTTGTCCACCAGTGGAGAAGCAGGAAGTTTGGGAACCTGCTTACGAAAGATACTTTGGGATCTCTGGCTCTTCCTCCCTGTTGACTTGGTTCAGGAGCATCCCTTCCTCCTCCCTTGGCTTCCAAACATGCCTTTGCCACTCGGCATGCCCCAAAGGCTGGCAAACTGCCTGACGGCTTTGTCCCGGTGTCTGAACCTGCCAGGGATTAAACACTTGCAGTGGAGATTATTGTGCAATTGAAAAGAGGGAAGGAGGGGTGAAAAAAAAAAAAAAAAAAAAAGAAAAAAGAAAAAAGAAAAAAACACAACCCAAAAACCAAACAACCAAAACCAACACAACAAAACCAACCCAACCCATTTCTCTTTCGAAGCGGTTTTCTTTGGCGGGCTCCTGCAGTGGCAGTCCCCTCACCTACCCCCACGCCCCGGGGCGGGGTGTGGGGTGTGGGCTGTGGTGTAGCTGCACCCCGGGAGCCGCCGGGACTTGTAGTCTGGGCCAGGCTCAGACTGAGGGGCCGGCCGCGGAGCACCCCGTCTGCTGGCGGGGGGGTAGCGGGGTGTCAGCGGGGGGTCCCCGATGCCCGCGGGGGTTCTCTGCCTGCAGGGCAGGAGCCCCGTGGGGCAAAGCGGGTGGGGGAGGGGGGCAGCTGCGGTGCTAGACCAGGGGCTGCAACGGGGACCGACCCCCTCCTCCTCCTCCTCCTCTTCCTCCTCCGGGCGGGCGCGGTGCCGGACTACGCGCCCCGAGCTCCCCTGCGCGGCGGCGGGGCGGGGCGGGGCGGGCCGGGCGCTGCCCTACAAAGGCGGCGGCGGCGGCGGGCGGCCGCTACTCACCGGCACCGGCGGGAGGGCGCGGGGCCGCCCGCGCTCCCGGGACAAAGCGCGGCCATGAGCCGGCTGTAGGGCCGCCGCTCCGCTCCCTTCGGCCGCCGCGGGGGGCTCGGGGGGGACGGTGGGGGTGGTGAAGGGGAGGTGTTTCTTGTCGCCGGCGGCGCGGGGTGGATGCCGGCTGGGGCCGGCCGCGCCCGGCACCATGCACACCGTGCAGAAGGACACCACCTTCACCAAGATCTTCGTCGGGGGTCTGCCCTACCACACCACCGACTCCTCCCTCAGGAAGTACTTCGAGGTCTTCGGGGACATCGAGGAGGCGGTGGTGATCACCGACCGGCAGACCGGCAAATCCCGGGGATATGGCTTTGTAAGTGCCGCTCCGTGCGCCTGTGTCCCCCGCTGCGGGACGGGACGGGCGCCGCGGTGACGGGCGCCGGGGTTGCTCCCCCCCCCCCCCCCCCCCCCGCTATCGCCCCGGGGAAGGAGGGCTGCCCCCGGTGCGGGCGGGAGCAGGGTGGCCCGGCCAGGACAAAGGCTGTGCTGGGGGAGCCCCGGGAGGAAAGCCCCGGTCGGGCCGTTCGTTCCAACACCCCGGTCCCGCCGCCTCGTTCCTTCGCGGGCTGCGGCGGCGCGCGCCGTGCTGCCCACGGCCTCCGCGTCGCGCGTGTTCGGGGGCGCGGGTACGCGCCTGCCAGCACCCCCCCCCCCAACCGCCTCAGCCCCGGCCAGGTCGGGGGGGGCTGGCTCCGCCGACTTCTTAAAAAAGCACGGGGGAGGAGGTGGAAAGGCACGGGAAGAACAACCGGCGAAAGCCCAACTTTGGAGTGACTCGGCGAGGGGGGAGCCCGGGAGCCCCTCGCATCTTGCCGTGCGGGACCGCGTGAACCGGCGTTTAGCTCCTGGTTCAAAATAGACCAATAAATAAACTCCGCTTAGTGCCTGTTGCCGGAGAGTTTACAAAGCGCTGTTGCTACAAACAAGGCTGTGCTTAATTGCAGGTGACCATGGCAGACAGAGCTGCAGCTGAAAGAGCATGCAAAGACCCGAACCCCATCATTGATGGCAGGAAAGCAAATGTGAACCTGGCATATTTGGGAGCAAAACCAAGGAGTATTCAAACTGGTGAGGCATCCAGGAGATCCCGTCTCTCTCTATTAGAATAACTTGTAAGACGAGGAAACTAGTTCCTCAGGCTGGATTCATCTGATGATGTGTGCTTACCCCTCATAGTTCTGATTGTTGACTGAGGACGCTGTGTAGTCCAGTTACCTCTCTTCCATCTCTTCTTACTCGTTCCTGTTACAGTAGTGTTGTGCACTTAAGTTCATATAACTGAGTTAAAGCAGTTTTTTTCCATGGCTAATCTATTTTCCTGTTATCCTCGTTGTTACGTTGGTATTAGCAGTAAGATCTGTTTCATCATTCTGCCTTTTGGTTTAATGACCACAGTACCCAGTGTGTAAAATAAGGCGTTACACCCCATTGTCTGTTCAATAACAGCACTTTCACACTGTTCTTTAATGTGAATTCCCATCTGGCCCTCGTGTATATCACATACGCATATTAAAATTAACTTGCTTCTAAACGGGACTCTGAATTTGCTCACATGCATAGCAGATAAAATGCACATAGTACTTGTGGTCTGAGGTGTAATTATGGATGTATATTACAAGTTCAGTGGTACAATGGATGCCATTCATTAATATTTGGTTTTTTTCCTGAACTTTTTTTTTAGGTTTTACCATAGGTGTGCAGCAGCTACATCCAGCCTTCATTCAGAGGCCCTTTGGGTAAGTGGAAATGTTTCTTAACAGTCTGAAATCAAATTCATGAATCAACTTCCTCATTATTTAAGATGCGTGAAAATAGCCTTAGCCATCAGGAGCGGACAGTCTCAACAGCTGTTGTTAATGTTTGGAGTACTTTATTTCTGGTGAAGATTTCAGAAGTTTTGTGCATTTGTCAGCTTTAATGTAATTCCCAAAGATCCTCCTTTATCCTCAGTAAATCTTAGTCATAATAAACCCAATGCATTGCTTGCCGCTTTGCCAACTTCAAGAATTCACAAGAATTCAAATAAATGGAAAATAGTTTCTCTATTATAGTACTTAAGGTGTCAAAACAATTAAGCAAATTCTGTTCTCATGTTTCTCAAATAAGATCTTCTGCTTCCTCTGTGCCGTTTCCCACGTAATAATGCTCAGGATACAGTTTTATTCTAGAAAACAAATTGCATTGGAAACAAAGTCTGTTACTTAATGAAAGTAACATTAGGTCAAAAATTGATTTTGGACAGATGTTATACAAGGCTTGAATAGTCTGCAAAAGTGGGCTTTTGTCTGCTGTTTTCAATAGCTTATACCATCCCTACTCGGCTAGAAAAGTCCTCTTTTTATACATCTAATAGGATCTGGCAGCTGCTCGGCAAAAGACAAGTGTGCTTCATGAGAACAATAGTGACTGTCATACTGCCTTCATTTAACTGTTTAATGATTGATGCAGTTCTTTTTTTACACCATTTCAGAAAGTGAATATTGATAGGGGTTTTTTATTATTGTTTTCTAAGAGCATTAGAAAGTAGGTGCATTTTTTAAAGCTTTTGAGCACTGCTCTGTTGTGGTTTTTGTGTGACTCTAATATAAATAGATGGGATTTTGGCCTTTGTCAACAGAAATACTTTATCCCTTTCCTGCTCTCTGCTTGTGTTTTCTTGGGGTGTGTTGTATTTTTTTTTGGTGTGTTTTCTTTTTTTTTGGTAAAGAAAAAAATCTGCTAACAACAAAACAGAAACTTTCACTCCTCTGCCCTTATGGCTGCAGTTGCCAACCGCCTGGGTAATCTCATTCCAATGAGTTTATGGATGTAAGAGACTGTGTTGCCACAATAGTGCACACCCAGTGTACGTGTGCTGTGTACGGTTCAAACATGCCAGTGTTCATAAGTGGTTATGGATCTGTTGGAAAGACTCAAAGAACATCTGTCATGAAATGAAGAGTCTTTATTTTTTTGGTACAAGAGTCACAGTAGTCTACACAGCCAAGATGCTGCTTTTTAATAGCTCTCCGTGCATGGGAGCCACAACAGCTTTTGTACCCCCCAAAGCAGGCAGCAGCAGTACCTTCAAGATGTGAACCTCAGAGGCTTTCCAAATTGCACAAGCATGCACAAGAGAAGTTGATGATAAAACCAGCCTGTTGTGAGTTTTTCCACGCATGCTAACAGAAAAGAGCAAAATGGTGAACCGCGTTAAACTCCTCATATTGGCAGGAGTGCTGGCGCACGCCTGTTCCTCTTGCAGATAATCTGCTGTTCCTGTGGGTGCCGTTTCTACCCAGCAGCCAGCCACAGCCCTGCAGCTCTAGAAAACACAGCTTTTTGTTCTGAACACTTTGCTTTTAGTTTCACGTACAGAGGAGTGTGGGATCAACTGTCTGTGTGTTCCTTGTGATCTAGACAGTTACTGTTCCAGTTC